TTTTTGGAACGGATGATGTGATGTATAACAAAAATATTATGTTGATTCGTTTTTTATATTTATGTTGTGTGGTATTTTTTGCATAAATTGTTGACTCCAAATTGTGGAGCATATTGATAAAATGTAGCTTGTCGTTTTATAAAGTGCAACGTATTATTTTATAAAGTGCAACGCATTGCTTTATAAAGTGCAAAGGTGATTTTTTTATAAAGTGAAATATATTATAAGATCACATATAAATTATGTGCATTCAAAAACAATTTTTTAGTTGATATTGTACAATTAATTAATTAAAATTATTTAAATATTTTATTAGTTATTATTATTTTATAATTCATTTATTATTATAAATTATTTTTATATTATATTTAGTTAATATTTTATATATTGTTTAATATATGTGTATAACAAAAGACATCAAAAAATATTTTTATAAGATCACATATAAATTATGTATATTCAAAAACAATTTTTTAATTGGTATTGTACAATTAATTAATTAAAATTATTTAAATATTTTATTAGTTATTATTATGTTATAATTCATTTATTATTATAAATTATTTTTATATTATTTTTAATTAATATTTTATTTATTGTTTTGTTTAATATATGTGTATAACAAAAGACATCAAAAATATTTTTTTATTAACTTTCAAAGATTCACATTTGGCACTTTGACTTAATTGAAATATAATTTAAAATTTTTAAAACTACAATAAGGTCCCTAAACTTAGTCTAATTCTCAAAAGAACACCCCAAAACTCACACACCCATAAATACATTTTCCGACTAGTGCGCCCGCCGCCGTCGCAGTAGCCGCCGCCTGTTTCCGTCATCGCCGCCAGCCGCCTACCTCGTGCCTTCAGCCTCAGCCTTCTACCATCTCGCTGTCAGCCCGTTTGCCGTCTGCCCGACTCCCATTTCAGCGGGTTGGTGTCGCCGTCACTGCGAGTTCCCAGCCGATCCCGTCGGCCTTCCTCCATCTTTCACGACGTCAACTCACCTCCGCTTAGCCGCGCCGGATGACATTTCGACGAGGTGAAACACGTCGGTGCTCTCTGGAGGCGTACGACCTGAAGACAATGATTTACATTTGCAGCGATGGACTGTGGCCGCGCCTGGCAGTGGCTTTGGAGGCGGTTATGGCGGCGGCGGTTTGCTGTGTGTAGGCACCTGTGATGCTCCGGCGACTCTACTGGTGGCGGCGTTCGGCGGCTCGATTGGTGGCGGCCTCCGGTGGCTCTGCTGGTGGCGACCTCCGGTGGCTCTATTGGTGGCGGCCGCCGTTTGTGGTGCGTGCATGTGTGTGTGTGTGTGTGTATGCGTGCGTGTGTGTGTTTTGCAGAGATTTGAAATTTGGAAGTGAATTGGGACGTGAGGAAGAAAGGTGGTGAGAGAGAATGTGGTTAATTGGTGTGTGGGTCCACATAATATAATATATGTGATTGACCAAGTTACCCTTATTTATTAGTTAATGTACATATTTGACAACATTATGATCAAATAATTACTAAATTGTCATTAATGATTGACCATATTTTGACCTCATCATCACCATTGATATAGTTGATCTAATGGTTCATGATCATTCTTATTTCTTTCACTATGTATCATTCTCATATGATCCTTTACCTATATATAAATACATATATATATATATATATATATATATATATATGCTAACTTTAAGTATATATATATTTTTCATATAAAATAGTCTAAAACAATTGAGGTAATTTCACATTTTTTAATAATAATATATAATATTTTAATACTTTCACATATGTTATATAATAATCTACGTGTTCTTAATTTTTTTGGCTGTAATATCTTTAACACATATAATATTTAGATACTTTTAAACATATTTGCATAATTTTTTACACATTCTTTAATATCTAAGTGCATAAAAAGAGAATAAGATTTATAAAAGATTTTTCAGACAATATATAAACTACATGTTGGATAAAAAAATATGATTTTATTTGTTATATAATATTTCGAGTTGCATTAATTTTGATTTGTATGTGTAAAAATTGATAAACTCAATAAAAGAGCGAATGATTGTAAGGATTTAAAAAAAAAATCTAATTTTTGAAATATTTTCTATTAACTTCTAAACGAATTTATGTCATAATTCGTCATAATTTTTTCAACCGTCCGCATGTAGTATTTCACACTTTTCTATTTGTAATCAAGTATATCAAAACTTCACAAATTTTACTTCACAACAAAAGTGTTCAATTATTTATATTTTTTTTCCTTCTATGCATTCCATCTATTTTTGTTACATATATATAAATTATATTAATTTTAATATTTCACACGTTAAACATTTCAGGAAATATATTTATTTTTGTTACATATATGTAAATTATATTTATTTTAATATTTCACACGTTAAACATTTCAGGAAAATATATCATCCCGTGCATCGCACGGGCTACGCGCTAGTTTAATGTGAATAATGTTGATATTTAATGCAATCCAAGCCTAATTATTATTTTATAAAAATATTAATTTACATCCAAGCATAGTTACGAAGAATGTTCGTTTGCCACATAGGATTCTGAAATATTCGGTTCTACCACTTAGGCTCACGCATTCGACTATTATATAAATTAGGGGTTTTATATAGTGTATGTAGTGTACATTTCTTTATATCCATCCTAACAATTATTTCTTGTGATTTCAGTGTTTCTATACAAATATATCCGCTCAAAATAGTCTTTTTGGTTAATCAGAGTTAAGTGGTATGGTTACCTGTTAGTGAAACTTTATAATAAAAATACTATTTAAAATAAAATAATTAAAGTTGATTTGAGGTAAAAATAGGAAAAAGACGATGTACTTTGATAGTTGATTAAAATTATGTGAGTGAATGAATAGTAAATCAAAATTGATATGATATGTAAGAATAATTTATTAAAATTATTTAATTATATTGATAATATCAGGAATAATTAAATTAAATTAAATTAAACTTGAGTGAAATTTTAATTATGAATTGAACATTTATTGATTTTTTTAATATACAAACCCACCCTAAGCGTGTGTTTGGTTCGGGGGAATAAGAGGGGAGGGGAAGGGAGGGGAGGGAATATTTTTATTTTCCCCTGT